TAAAGATATCATTACAAAATGAACAAATCTGAGAGAGATTCACATGTAGTACCTATATATGTCATATCAAAGCAATTGGACTTGCGGTTTTTAACAAGAAGTCGAAAATATCACTTTTTACCAAAAATGACAAACATATTCACCAAAGTTAGAGAATTGAAGATATCATTACAAAATGAACAAATCTGAGAGAGATACACATGTAGTACCTATATATGTAATATCAAAGCAATTGGACTTGCGGTTTTTAACAAGAAGTCGAAAATATCACTTTTTACCAAAAATGACAAAAATATTCACCAAAATTAGAGAATTGAAGATATGATCATGAAATGAACAAATCTGAGAGAGGTCCACCCAAGGTACATATACACCAAGTATCAAAGCATTCAGGCTTGTAGTTTTCAAGAAGAAGTCGAAAAAGCAAAACATTGACACGGACGCCGGACACCGACGCCGGACAATCACTCATATGATAAGTTCCGCTTGACAACGTCGACAGCGGAGCTAAAAATGACAATCTTGAATCGGGTCATAATACTAATGGAAGTGTATGTGTTGCCCAAGATATGTATTTGTAAATGTGATCGGCCAGGAATGTCCGAGATACAAGTGCAGATGCAAAAAAACACACACACAGGTCAAAACATAATTCAATTATATCAACGTTATTTTTTTTTTATGTAACAAAACTGAATTTGACAACGGTTGTTATGTTCTGAAAATTGCAATCAGCATTTCAGATACAATTGGTAATTCAAAAAATATCATGGAAAGCAAAGTAAAGTAAATGCAATGATAAAACATCAATCAAGTCGTGGCGTATTAAGTTGCTGTCACACACTGTAGTAAAAACAATTCCACATTGCCCCAACAAATAGCACCCATGGGACACTAAAAAGACATTATTTCCCTATCGTTACAATATTGTTAGTAACTACCATTGAGTGATGGTGGTGGTTTGTGGCTGTTTGGAGACGCCACTTGCCAATTTAATGCACTAACACACAAGTCCCTTGCTATCTGCGACATCAATATTGCAACATGTAATCAAACAAGGGAAAGGACAGGGCAATATTTTTTAAATAATGATTTTGAGTGTATTTGAAAACCAACGACATATTTTTTTCGTCAACATTTTATTTCATTTATATGAGAACTGTAAAAGTAACTTTAAAAATGTTTATAACGTTGATATAATTGACTTCCACATATACCATACATTGTTATATGTTATTTTCACTGTCTATACTTGAAATCCGATTTTGAAATCGACAAGTACAAACAGTGGCAGCTCGTCAGCAACCTTATCAAATCAAAATGTTGTCTGTATGCTGTGTGAAAGAGTAAGATAGTAAATAAAAGTTGAGTTGCCCATGTCCATCTGAGAAATACTTCAAACTCTGGGTACTTAGATACTAATAGTTTGAAACAAAAGCTAAATCTTCAATTTCTGGCACGTATGTGTAACTCAGCCCATAAGCGTGATTGTGCGTTTTCCTGCTAACATGACTCACAGAGACCGTACGGTTATTAGAGAAAACCGATCAACCTTACTGAAAAGACTATTGAGTGGAAATTGAAAGGGCGAGATAACATCAGAATGCACGTGTTCTAGTATTATTCGTGTTGCTGACTGCCTAAATGAAAAGTATCCAGATGGTAACAAGGGAAACCGTGTATTTTTCAAATAATAAAACTCTCATCAGGCAGCTCTCAAAAAGTAGATCAAGTGAAGACAGATATACATTTACTGTGAAGTAAAAAAAAGGAAAGCAAGCCAACCAGCAGTATACCAGTAAGCTCATTGTTTTGCAAACAAAACAGCAACATTGATAGTTTAAATGTAGCAGTTTGTAATGATAAGCTGATATCAATATTGCTACTTTGTTATCAAAACAGTGAACTATATTAAAATATTGCTGGTTGGATTGTTTTTTTGTTCACATTAAAGTCATACCATCTTGAAATATGTAAGTAGGTGTGTGGGTGTGTGTGTGGGTGTGTGTGTGGGTGTGTGCGTATGCAGACATCAAGTGGGTCACAACAATGAAACAAAACTGAAATAAACCCATTTTTGTTTTGGACAGGAAGTTACAAGTCAAACACGAATCGTGTCTGTGAAGAATCTCAGTCTCAGCCCTATGCTATGCTTTGCATATTCAGGTAAAACTATTTTATTGAGAAAAGAGTAAACGGAGGGGCACAAAGTGGGTCACAAAACAATGTTAACTAAACTGAGTTAGGAGAAACCAACTTTTGTTTTTGGCAGGATGTTAAACGATTGATCTGAATCATGTCTGTGAAAGTGTCTCAGAGCTACTTGTGCTTCTTCATCTTGAGTAAGTAAAAAAAATAACTGAAGTGAAACTTGAAAGGTACATGTAACACGGCAGCTGTCTGATCGCAGACAAATAAAAAAATCAAAGAAAGCTTAGAAAGAATTCCCGTGTGCTGACAGTAAAAGACACATTTTACGAATTTTAAGATCAGCCTTGTAATTAATAAGTATGGCAAGTAATATTTGTCTGCTATTTGAGATGCACAACATGAAAACAATGTGATCCTCGTTGTTGAAGTTCAAATTTGATTTTACATCTGTGGTTTTATTCCAGAGCATCTTTACCACAGGTTCAATTCAAATCTGATTTTTTGTGACATCAGAAATTAGCTACTAATAATTAGATAAACAATATACATGTTTTTCACCATTAAACTAATCATGTCAGATACTGATGGAAAAGCTGAAAATTTACTAATTAATATGCAAAACAGGTAATTAGTATGCACATATTTGAATGTAAAACTAACATTGTTTATGCAATGTCACAGACCATTTATGTACCAAGTTTCATTGAAATGTGATGACAGTGTAAAAGCAGAAAATTGGTTAATTATGCAAAAACGGTAATTAATATGCACATATTTTGAACACAAACTACTGGTAATCAGGTCTGTGCATACTTCTAGAACAGCTATGTACCAAGTTTTATTGAAATGTAATGATTAGTACTTGAAATATCAGCAGACTAATTATTATGAACAGTAGGCAATTAATATGCATGAAATTTTACCCAAAACTAATCAGGTCTGGGCATTGTCCCAGAGCATCTATGTACCAAGTTTCATCAAAATCCATTGAGCGGTTCTCAGTGGAAGTCATGAAACAGCTAAAAATTGGTGCATTATCATTTAAATTAGGTAAATAATATGCACAGATTTCAACCAAAAACAAATCAAATGTACTAATGTTTTTTTAAAATACCAGTGGAACAGACATGCACACACGCACATACACACAGATGCACTAACTGCAAAGACTTCCATGTGTGTTTCACACACAAGAGTCAACAAGATCGAGAAACTATTCTCCTGGCTGATCAGTACAAAATCTATATACTGTGGAATAGTTTATTTTCGCTGGAATTAATTTTCACTGAAAAGGCTTTTTAGGCATTCCGTATGGAATTTATTTTCACTGATTTTTGATTAGTTTAATGTGAAATATAGGGAAAAAAGTATATTCGTTGGATTTTATTTTCACGGAATCATCCCATCAGCGAAAATAGCAAAAACAAATTCCAAGCAAAAATAAAGTATTCTACAGTATCTTAAGGAAAAATAAGACAGTCCAAGGTCAACGCATGTTATTAAGAGGACACAAGTTTTCATTTTACTATGTGAAACACACCATTAAACTATTCAATGCGCAAAGGGGTCTGTGTAAACGTATCAAATCCAAATGAAATCTGACAACGCATGTTCACAGCAATGGCCTATGACATTTACAAGGGTTTCACAGCATGTTTGATAAAATGATTGAGACTATCTCATACGTGAATTATCGGTATTCTAATTTCTCAAGGCAGAACAGGGTGCTGTACTTGTGAGGAAAGTACATTGGACTATTCACCTACCGTTGTGTATGCAGGTGGATTGTACTGACAGAACAATACGACAGAATACTAGTCTAAGCCGAAGTAACTGTAAAAATGCAGTGACTTAAACTTGTATGCATTTTCAAAAGGGGCCCGCTGTTAATCCCGGGACTTACACCAAATGTTCATGCGAGATTTCAAACTACTTTGTCATTTGTAAAATTTACCCGAATTTTTCCAGCTATAAATTTGTTATGATTTGATACAATGTCATTTGGCAGCAAACCATCAGCATGAAATTTCACAAAACACTGTACCGATAGTAACGAGTGACGATCATCGTGAAGCATTGTTCCATGTGATGTATACTTTTGTTGTTTATTTACATAGATTGCAAATGTGCGCTACTCGACAACAACTGCGCCTTAATGAAATACATTTACTTTAATTTTGCGAGAGAAAAGTTTTTACAGAGTCAGTAAAAATCATAAAAATTTTGCAGCAGCGAAAATTTGGGTCATACATGTATGAGACAAATTGACCACTAGTCGGTCAATTTGAGAAGAATTTACAAATCTGGAAACACACATGTACTGAAACTAAACTATTAGTCCGAGCAGGAACTAACAACAGTAATAACGTTTGCTGCTGGAAAGTTTCGTAATTTCATAAATTTATGACATTCGTAAAAATAAAATTTTCACGAAAGCCACTGACGCTTTGTGTCGCAGACCCTCAGAGAAATTTTTTAATGCTACAATGTCTTGAGCATGAAATATACAGTACATCAATGAGAGCTAAAGCTCTTAAGATATAATCACTTGAAATGGAATTTATGAACCATAAAGAACACCTGCCTCCACCCTAAGACAGTCAGTCAAACTATATAGTGCGTGTACAATAAAAATGTACGGTCACCTCAGGGATATTATGAATATACTAGACAGGCGGGGCAAAGGCAAATCATTTTTTTTTTTATTCATTGTGTTTTTTCAATTGCCAAATGCACGTAATTAAGATTACAGAGAGTAATTATCCACCATGCCTAGCATCAATGGCTAGAACAAGAAGCAATCAGCTAGCAGGAACAAAAGACAATTGCAAGTAGGTGAATTGTATTCTGATTCTGATGCTATCATGTGCTCTGGAGAATAAGAATAAAAGAATTTGCATAATACAATTACTGAACATGCTTTGTCGTGTGAAGATAATAAATGAGGCCGTCACAAGGCAGATAATGTGACAATCAGTCACAGTCCCTTTCCGTTACTAAACGGGTATAAGCTTGATAGTACAGTGCTGTCCATTACTAAACATGTACGAGCTCGATGGAGTCTCCCATAATCAAGGAGGACAGCCTCTATTTATAAATGCAGTATTTGCGGTCTCCAATGCAGCCAACAACTCCTGAAATTGCCACTAACCTTAGAGGTCATACGCAATAACCACAGATATTCACAACCGTAGCCAAGAAATAGTATTGAGTTTCTTGACATGCTAACCATCTATAGTGGCATGCTGTGTTTTTATTTTATCTCACAGTGGTACATGTTTATAATCCCCATGACATTTCATACAGACACATACACACACAAGCAAACAAGTTCACACATGCACGCAGCGAAATTTAGTGACATTTCCGTTTGCGAATTTGAATTTACACTTTTTTCAATCTAAAGATTGCAATCATGTAAAACTTAACTGCAAAGATTCACCCATGACTTGGCAAGTAAATTCTTAATGTTTACAAGATGCTACGCATACAATATACAGTTTTTATACACAAACCTTGAGCCATGATAGTTAGATCCAAGAATCGGGCAATCTGATAAACCTCCATTGCTTCTTCGGTTCTCGTTAACTGACCTCTCCCTGATACCATGGCTTGCACTTCACCAAGACTCCCCATACTAGGGCTGTCTTGAATGACAAATGATAAATCTACAACGTCTAAGTAGATTGCATGAAGTAACACTCGGGCATATCTTTTAGGGATAATTGACTCGTCTAAAACAATACGAGTCGGTTGTTGTAAAGTCCTCTCAGTTAACTCTTCCCCTGATCTACATCTTCTGTGGAGTAGATTCCGAAAGAACGGTGATCGAGCTGCTAGGATGGACTTGTGGCAGAATAGTTCTTCATAGATTGCCCCAATGCTTGCTGCTTCTTGACCTTGAACTTCAGCAGCCGGTTCTGATGAGAACACTAACACTGCATCGCAGAATTCACCAGTCTCTAACAAATGCCTAAAGTCGTGTTCTAGTAAATTAGGGGTGCCAAACTGATCACCAAGCTTGACGAGGACGTCCAGATTTTCTAAACGTGACACCTGCGTGTTGAAATCACCTGTATAGAGATATCGCAGGAGAGCAGAGAATGTTGAAATATCCATTCCTTTTGTCCGAATATCCACATGAACTTGCGCCCCATATTGAGGATGCCGTCTGAGGAGATCACGGAAGTATGGACACCGCAACGATAGTATACCTCTGTGCACTGGGAAGCATGTACCAAGGAAGATGAGATCAATGTCAGTACAGTATTTATAGTCATATAAATCCGATAAATCCTCTTTAAGACAGCTGGCATGAGGTCTTGCTAAATTAGCATGAATAGTCAGTTCTTTCAGCACATTTGTAGCTTCGTATTCTTCGACTAATGCATTTAAATCTCGCATGCTCCACCCAGACACCAAATCTCGGATAATTCTTGCATGGTCATATTTGCTTGACTTTCGCCGACGGATGAATTTCTTGCGCAGAGTGGCAAAGCCGGCACTTTTCTTTTTTTTGTCTTTACCCGAGGAAGACATACTGATACCAGCACCGCCACTGCTACTACTGCTTCCTCGAGGCTCCAAGAAATATTCAGGATATGCTAATGCATCAGAGTACTGAGTCAGAGATGATGATGACTGTAACCGTGCCAACTGCTTCTCTTTCTCTTTTTCCTTCTCTTTCTCTTGGGAAGTTGATGTGTTCACTCCCATTATTCAACATTGGGAGGCTGTCATGTAAATGTTTATCATTGTCAGTACTCCTCACCAGTAATTGACGGCGCCGCCATACACGAGGGAATCAACGTCTTCAGATCTGATGTTTGGAATAATGGAATCTTCCAGTGGGTTAAAAGAGCGAAAAATGGAGAATATATAATCACACAGGTCACCTGGCTCAGTTACAGGAGAACATTGTGATAAGACCCCGATGGTTGAGTCACAAAAGTACTTCCCATGAAACAGTCGAGCACAGTTTCAATATCAAATTCTCTACAAGAAAAAAAAAACAAAATAAAAAAATACATTAAAACCAAAGACACTTATATATTTCCAAAATCTACTCAGTAGTGATGGAAACACAGTTTGCATTTAATGAGAGCAGAGACATGAATATTTATTACAGACGCTTTCAGTGACTACACCGTGCAGACGTACAGTCTGGTATATGACACATCATGCATATAGAAATTTCAATTCCTATTAATAATCCGGTAGGCAAGATCAAAACCAATATTGAAACAGCGACTCATTTATTACCTCTGACAACAAATACGGAAAATAAAAAAATACAAGCAATGTCCACAAAATATTCGTAGCGACAACTCATTAAGATAACTTCAAATTGAAAAAAAAAAAATAATAATTAAGTGATTAAAATAGAAAAATTGCTTGTGGTTGGTGGAGGGGGAACATTATTAGATGGAATTAACATTTATTTGCATATTGATGTTACATACACTGACATATAAATAAAATGCAACTTCTGATACTATGGCATACTAATTTCATGTGTGATTAATACAGCCATTGTATAATTGATATTTAAACAGCCCCGCACCCTAAATACATAATCACTCTATACATATAAATATTGCAGTCATCTCCTGCTTTAAAACTTTAATCAAACAGCTTTTTTTTATGACCCAATTTAATAGTAATTTACCAATGAATGTAATATAACACTCATCCAGACCACATCCTTAGTAACTAACACCTATATAACATCCAGACTCGCTGCAATTGGCCTGGGAGCAGAAATACAATTATCAAAAAATTATTAATGCTTGTGTTCATATATGCAATCATGCATACAACAACCTCATTCATTTTTTTTAAGAGATCAATTTAATATTACGAGTGCAGCTCATTTTGTTTTTCAGAGACGGTATTTGTTTTTATATCCTCAGGTTTATTATTTTAGCAGGAATTGTACCCTCGAGCTGTGTACAGGTCTGTGCACCTCAACATTATTAAGTATGGAGATTGTCAAATATACCCTTTTTAAAAATCCACACACATACGTTATATATTGTACATATACTAGTAGTTAATATAAACTTTGACCTACAGTCAATTTGCAGCAAACTTTTGATAAACAATAGTTATAAACAGGTGATCTAGACTGGGGAGAAAGAGAATGCTAAAAAACTAGAAAGCAATTTGTCTGCGCAATTTTTGTTTCATCATATTCTAAGCAGGTTAAAAGTTACCAATAGTGGAGAAAAAAAAGGCGCAACAGAGCAGGATTTTGCGTGACAATGACACTGCGAGATAAATGGATAAAATACAACCTCTTTTCTTTGGATTTAATCAAGTGTACTTAAAAAGCACTTAACAACAGCTTGGAATGCAACCCATATCCGCAACAGCATGCCTTTTTTTTTTGGCCTTCTCTGCAGAGATATGAATGGAGGGGACCAATTTGTATAACCAAAAGCTTTCACTTCTAGTATTTCATGAATACATGACTCACAAAAGCTGTTTCGTAAGTCTTTTTTTCTCTCTATTCAACAAAATTGAAAAGCATTCCAAATTTGTATATACGTGCATTTCAATTAGTTCAAAAAAACAAAAAAATTGACTTTTTTGAAGTCGCTCTAATTATATTAATTATAAGGACTATCACAAATTCATCTGCTGGTTTATAACACATACAGGTTTAACAAATATACAAACAAATTCTTATTCTATTTTATGTGTTGGTATCCTAAGGGTTTGTTAGAACCGTACAATGTGACCTGGGAAGTAATCCGTTTATATTTACATATATCATTGAATTTTTGCTGGTAGAAATTATAGTGATTTGAGCATTAGACAACCGATAGTGTCCATTGTAGTTGAAATATTCCTCAAAGCATTTGTCAGAAGTGATTCTTAATTATTAAAAAAAAACACTCAACTTTTAATATGAGGTTATTACGAAGATACCTCAAAGTACGCACGAAGACAGTACAGCAGGAGTATCGGCAGATGCGCAGCGTAATTAACTTATACATCTTTTCCTTCCAAGGATACATCATTGAAATCAAAAATGTTTAGAACAGAATCAGTTTTTGTGTGGAGTCAGGTATAACCCTGGTGGCAGCCATGTTTTTTTATTATTATTAAAGGACGCTTACCCGCGTAATCATTCCATACTAGTATTTGGAATTCGCATTTCCTAATATGGTAGGATGAAAATACCCCATAAAATACTGCAAAATTACAGCAAGCTGTTACTTATGGCATTACATTGACAGATGTATAATAATAGTTATTATACGAAACTTATTTGCCAATGTAGAATAATTATCGATTGTATTCCAATATGTTTCAACTTTGATCAGTTTTGTTATACGATTGACAGAATATACAGTTGGAAGACGAAGTTCATTCATGTCATACTACATATTTATATTGTTAATATAAATACACATTTTTTTTATTCAACTTTGATACAGCTACATCACAAGAGCTGTGATGTTATCGTACCGCCCATGGGAATCGCAAATCATTGACGGTATATAACTCGGTTGTACTATTTGTTATTTTCTGATAGGAGTACAGATAACAGTGTGTGTGTGTACTATTACCGGTGAATTTCATAAATATTATATTGATATATATTGATATATATATTAAAACAAGTAGCACATTTTATCACTCGCCAGATGTTTTCATATCCACAAAAAATTCACAAACTGCTCACGGTAATTTAGTATTTGTTATTATATTCCAGCCAGGGACTAGAAAAAAAAAACAAGTAAAAAAATAACTCGGCAAAAAAAATCTTACCTGCAAACAATGTCTTGTGTATAGTATTATGTGTGTGTATCTAACATGTATGGAAAAATAAATGTTTTGCTTACACATAGTGCAATGTGTACAACAGATGGACAAACACCGAATGGCCCTGATTTTGAAAAAAATAACTGAATACACAAACAACTCTACAGTACGGTACGCTGATTTTAACACGCACGCTCAGGGATAATAATATTTAATGGTAACGTTATTCTAGGAACCAAAAAACAGACACAACCAATTAGAGGGGCCCCTTTGGCGGTGTATTTATTTAATTCTACTTCTATCATTCAGCCTATTTCCACGGTACAATGTAGATTCTGAAGTGTTGGTATAACATCAATAGGCCATGTGACATTGACTGATCAGAGCAAGGACAGAAAAAAAGAACATGTTTTAAATGGCCGCTATAGAATTAGTGCCGGTAAACTTTTCTGAACTCTACTTCTGCAGTCTGAGTGCTGGAAGTAAATTCTTTTAGAAAATCCTTTTGGATCAGCTTTACTGGCCATACTGGTATTGTATGTCTGATATACATGTATACAGTAGCAACATTTCCCCCCTTTTCTTGCCTCACAATAAAATATATGCTTGATCGATAGAGTTTCCCTTGTATTAAACGACATGCATTTAGAAGCTCAACAGTCATGTGAACAATTTTATCGTATTTTAGTGTGTAATCAGAACCCTGACAACATGATTCTAGAAATTAACAGTACTAGGAGGACATTAGAGCCAATATATCGACTATATACATTAAAAGCATTACTGGAACTCTGTCAATTTTCAAAAGAGAATCTGTCAAACTCGGCAATTGCATCATGAAAGGGTGGAAACAAACACAGTAAACCATTAAAACCATAATTGTACCTAATCTTTGAAAAACTCAATGGGACTGCAACAATTGGGGTTAAAATCGTCACCAGAATTGATGGTTCATGGGCTGTGCCTAATGAGAACCCCCAGTCTTAAGGACCACAGTTAAACGCTCACTACAGCTCATGAGAATTAATCTCTTGTGTGACAGTTCAGTTCTCCCTAACCAAATATGGCTGCTCACTTGCATATTATTATAATTAATCATCTGAGTTGCAAATTTATTTTATTGCAATAGAAATAATTTAACATATCAATAATAACCTCCGGTGTTTTCTAGATTTAAAGTTTAATGAATGGCATTTCGATGGTTAAATCAGTGACCAATCAAATTCATGGCTTTCCAGTATAACTACATGTAATTAGCACAAACAGCTTTTCACACTTTTATGATAGATCGTGTTCTCAACAATTACTGGTCTAAACTAAATACATATACATCAAAATAAACGAGCAAAGTGAACTGAACCAGAATTATGATCGATATGACATTTTAAAATGGTTCAAGATCAAGCATAAACACAACCCCAGATGGTATCTTATAAAGTGTAACCAGTGGGACATCTAACACTCAGGAAGAATGCACGCATGTGAAATCTAGCTACTGTCCACTGAACTGTGTTGAGAGGACACCAACAGTTACTCATCATCTTTGAATAGTTTATCTGTAAAGTGTAGGGATATACAATGTCATTTTCCTTACATGTAAAAATAGGAAAAAATATATTCACTAGGGACTTCATTTGTAAAATATTTTTTTCAATTCAAGGCAACTAATTTGCATACTATCATAATTAATTTGCACTGGTGTATTGTAAAGTTTAGTATTACAATGGACGAGCACGGTACTGCACATTAAGTGTTATCACATCCCAACACATTATGCAATGTAATTTATCAATTTGTGACTTATTCGTCCTCTCAACATGATGCCAAGTTCAATTATACCACAGACAGTTCAATCAGCTGGACATCTATCTATAAACAATCCAGAGTATTTACAGTTTGCCAAACCATCTGTGGATACATCAACAGCCTGGGGGAGGAAACCCTTACAAGGAAACAGTGTGCATATAGTTTATATGGTGACAGACAAATAGGCAAACATTTGGTCTAGGTATTAGTTAATATTTACTTTTAATGATAACACTCATGATATAACAGCCTATCTATTAAGCCTGTAATTTTTGTGTATACACCGGAAACAATTATCTTATAATATGGTGCAGTAGAATTCAAGCAGAGTAAACCAATCATTTCCAGGGTTTAAAACATTTTGTTGTTGGTGATTATAAAAATATTCATAAAAAAAAAAATTACAGAAAAAATAA